TACATCGTGATCATTTAAAAACTTTAAATGATTTCCAAAAATTACTGGGAGACATAAATTGGCTTCGGCCATACTTAAAACTCACTACAGGAGAGTTAAAACCTCTTTTCGATATATTAAAAGGAGACTCTAATCCAAAATCCCCCAGGTCCATTACTAAAGAAGCATTAATAGCACTCCAACAGGTGGAATATGCCATTGCAACACAATTTGTTACCAGTATTAATTATTCTCAGCCATTAATATTCATTATTTTTAACACAACAATAACCCCTACTGGCTTATTCTGGCAGAGCAATCCCATTATGTGGGTACACCTGCCCTCCTCCCCTAAAAAGGTTTTGTTGCCTTATTATGATGCCATAGCGGATCTAATTATTTTGGGAAGAGAAAACAGTAGAAAGTACTTTGGAATAGAACCCTCTACCATTATACAGCCCTACACTCAATCACACATCCATTGGCTGTTACAAAATACGGAAGCCTGGCCAATTGCTTGCGCTTCTTACACTGGCACAATTGACAACCATTACCCACCTAACAAACTCATTCAATTTTGCAAACTTCATGCATTTGTGTTTCCCCATATTACCAATAAAGAACCTCTCAATGACGCATTACTAATTTTCACTGATGGATCTTCCACAGGACTTGCCGCTTACACCTACAATAATGTAGTCGTTAAATTCCAGACCACTTATACATCCGCTCAGCTAGTCGAATTGCAAGCTATAATTGCAGCATTATCAGCTTTCCCTTGTCAGCCACTTAACATTTACACAGACAGCGCCTACCTGGCTCATTCAATACCCCTCTTAGAGACCGTGCCTCAAATTAAACATATTTCAGACACAGCTAACTTATTTTTACAATGTCAACAACTTATTCAAAAAAGGACTACTCCCTTTTTTCTTGGGCATATCAGAGCACATTCAGGATTACCGGGACCTTTAACACGAGGTAACGCAACAGCCGACATGGCAACAAAAACCATAGCCACAGTCACTACAGACAATTTACAACAAGCACAAAAAGCACATGCCTTACATCATTTAAACGCCCAAACCTTAAGACTCATGTTTAAACTTACTAGAGAACAAGCTCGACAAATAGTTAAACAATGCGCCAACTGCATAACGTATTTACCTGTTCCTCATTTAGGAATTAACCCCCGAGGACTCATCCCCAACGAAATTTGGCAAATGGACGTTACTCATCACTTAGAATTTGGTCAACTAAAATATATCCATGTATGCATAGACACCTATAGTGGATTCATTAGTGCAACTCTCCAAACAGGAGAGGCCACCAAACATGTCGTAGCTCATTTATTACACTGCTTTTCTATTTTAGGAATACCCAAACAAATTAAAACAGATAATGGCCCTGGGTATATAGCCAAAACCTTTTTACAATTCTGCAATACCCTACAAATTAAACATACCACAGGCATTCCCTACAATCCCCAAGGACAAGGTATAGTAGAAAGAGCCCATCTGTCATTAAAAACTGTTATCACAAAATTAAAAGGGGGGAGCTGGTACCCCGTGAAGGGTACCCCCAGAAACATAATCATGCCCTGTTTATCCTTAATTTTTTAAATTTGGACAGTCATGGAAAATCTGCTGCCGACCGTTTCTGGCATCCTGAATCTCAAAAACAGTTTGCAATGGTAAAATGGAAAGATCCACTTGATAATTCATGGCATGGCCCCGATCCAGTTTTAATTTGGGGAAGAGGCTCAGTATGCATCTTCTCACAAAAGAATGATGCAGCCAGATGGCTGCCTGAAAGATTGGTAAGACAAATAAATCATAACCATTGTCAGTCCAGGGAAGATAAATCTCCCTGAGAAGTTTCTTCCTTTTTGTTTTTCAGGAAATGAAGCCTAACATGAGATTCCTTTGGAGAATAATCGCTCTACATAACATAGTGACAGTCTATGCAGGTTTTGGTGACCCTTGTAAAGCAAGAGGATTACTACGAAAACAATACGGCCAGCCTTGTGACTGCAGAGGGGGACAAATATCTGAACCTCCATCAGATAGAATCACCCAGGTGACTTGCTCGGGCAAGACAGCGTACTTAATGCCAGACCAGTCGTGGAAATGTAAGTCTACCCCAAGAGACACCTCGCCTAATGGGCCGCTCCTAGAATGCCCTTGTAGCTCTTTCCAATCTTCTGTACATAGTTCCTGTTATACCTCCTATCAACAATGCAAATCAGGCAATAAAACATACTATACGGCCACGTTACTAAAAACACAAACTGGAAGTACCAATGACGTACAAGTATTAGGAACCACTAATAAACTTGTACAATCTTCTTGTAATGGCCAAAAAGGAAAGCCTGTTTGTTGGAGCACTACTGCTCCCATTCATATTTCTGATGGAGGAGGCCCATTAGATATTGCAAGAATTAAAACCGTCCAAAAAAAATTAGAAAAGATTCATAAAGCTCTATATCCTGAACTTCAATATCACCCCTTAGCCCTGCCTGAGATTAGAGATAATTTTAGGCTCAATGCTCAAACTTTTGATATCCTCAATGCTACTTACAATTTACTTCAAATGTCCAATACAAGCCTAGCCCACGATTGTTGGCTTTGTCTTAAAATGGGCCCCCCTATTCCTCTAGCTATACCTAACTTTTTGTTGTCCTATGTCAATTACTCAAATGAATCCTTGGTAAATAATTCCTGTCCTATTATCTCTCCCCTCTTAGTTCAACCGATGACGTTTTCTAATTCCTTTTGCCTCTTTTCACCATCATATAATAGCACTAAAGAAATTGATCTAGGCTATGTTATGTTGACAACTGTACCTCCATAATCCATGCCACCGACCCTTTGTGTGCTGTAAATGGCTCGGTCTTCGTCTGTGGAAACAACATGGCATATACTTATCTACCTACAAATTGGACAGGGCTTTGTGTTCTGGCCACTCTTCTCCCCGACATTGATATCATTCCTGGAGATGAACCTATCCCCATCCCCACTATTGAACATTTTATTTATAGACCGAAACGAGCCATACAATTTATTCCCTTATTGGCTGGACTAGGAATCACCACTGCTTTTACAACAGGAGCCACAGGCCTAGGGGTCTCACTAACTCAATATACTAAATTATCCAACCAATTAATTTCAGATGTACAGACCTTATCCAGTACTATACAAGATTTACAAGACCAAGTAGACTCATTAGCTGAAGTAGTTCTCCAAAATAGAAGAGGTCTAGATTTATTAACAGCAGAACAGGGAGGGATCTGTTTGGCTTTACAGGAAAAGTGCTGTTTTTACGCCAACAAATCCGGAATTGTCAGAGATAAGATAAAGACTTTACAAGAAGAACTAGAAAAGCGCAGAAAGGGCCTGGCCGCCAATCCATTGTGGACGGGACTCGATGGACTTCTCCCCTATCTCCTGCCATTTCTTGGTCCTTTACTTACTCTTCTACTCTTCCTCACTCTCGGGCCTATAATCCTTAATAAGCTTATGGCATTCGTCAGACAACAAATCGAGGCCTTCCAGGCCAAACCTATACAGGTCCATTATCATCGCCTTGAGATGACTGAAAATGGTGAGTCTTACTTACCTCAATAAGACCACCTCCCCTGTGTGCTGAACTGGACAGTCAATGATGGGTAAGAGGACACTATCTCCACCGGAGCCTAAGACAGGAGGGCCGCCTTTGCTGCTGCCTTATCCCATGACGGGCCTAGAAGGTGGGGATGAGTTGACCCAACCTAAGACAGGCGCAGTTCCCGGGGGGTCGTTTTCTTGTCATAAAACAATAAAAAGGGGGACCTGTCCGGAGCTGCGCGCCCCGGCCATAGCGAGTAATTATTGACGATTAGATGCCTGAGCTCTATTCATTTCCACCTCTCACCTCCTTCCTAGATTTGTCTTTTTCCCCTGTATTAAATACCTCACACAAGATGGCGCTCTTCCTGCTTCTTCACCCATCTTTCCCGCGCGCGCGAAAATTGTTACTTCGTAGCAAAATTGTTACTTCCTAGCGCAGGCGCAACATGACCACCGACCGTTGAAACCGAAACCTGCCTGGCCGCGCCCTCTGAAATGAGATCATTTCCGCCTTGGCCCAACCCCTTCCTCTCCAAGTGTATATAAGGCACTGCATTACCGCCATTAAACGAGACTTGATCAGAGCACTGTCTTGTCTCCATTTCTGGTGTCTCTTGTTCCCCAAATTCCCACTCCCTCCTCCAGGGCCTGCTTCGACGATCCCACGGGCCGGGATAACCAAGCTTGGGTGAAAAATGTCTGCACGCCCCAGAGAAAAGATGGTTGCGTTTGTACTGAACAGGTACAGGCATCTCTTCCTTGTGGTTGTTCCCTACACGATCATGTATAACAACTATTTACATAGCATTTACACTCTGTTAAGTATTGTAAGTGATCTAGGGAGGATTTGAAGTATGAAGGAGAATGTGCCTAGGCTGCGGGCAGGTACTGTGCCGTTTCATGTCAGGGACTTGCCCAGATTCTGGTGTCCAGTGGCGTTCCCATGTCTTCAAATGTTCCCGTATGTGAGGGTCTCAGGGGTCTCAGTTACGTTGGTTGCCCCTGATTAAGGAAGTCAGTTCTTCACGATCATAGGCCCTTTTTGTAATGTTTAAATACGTCTATTTTGATACATTTTAAACATTTAAAAATAAAATCGGACAATGCCAAGATACAAGGGATACTTTTGAACGGAATGGAGAAGTCATTATTGTAATAGTAAGACTCATTGTTAAAACCTTCTAATAATAGAGAGGAGGTCTATATAATTTATACAATTGTCACTTCATCTGAAGATTATATAGTCTTTTCCAAGCAACAGCAGCTTAATTCTCTGGTCTATTTGGGTATATAAAAGACTTCAAAAAAAGAATTTAACATTTATCTTTGTAGAAAATAAGCAATTGGAAAGTTCTCCATGCTGACTCCTAATTTGTGGCTAGAAATGGCAATGATATGAACATAAGTAGTGCTATTTATTAATATATTGCTTTTTAAAAATCAGTTTCTGTTTTGTAATTAGGTAGAAACAGAACAGAAAGACATTCTTGATTTTGGTGACTGGAGTTGTGGAGGCTGGAAGTCCCTGCCAATAAAAGCAATGAACCGGACACACACCACTTACCAATCAAGCTGATTCTCAGTGTTGTGAGTATGAACGTAGAGGAAAAAATGCTGTTCACACAATACATTCTTTCTATGAACTGAAATATTTTTGTTAAAGATTTTGTTGACACATTTCACATTCTTATTGCTATTGGCTTTACTGAAACTGAGCCTTCTCTTTCTGAACAGAGCACCGTGGCCTGGCAAGGACTGACGTTTTCCAAGGAACCCGCTGAGCTCCTGTGGGAGCTGCTCCCTGCGCTGATGTGGTCCCTCGGCTGGCAGGCTGCCCTGCGATCAACCACGTGACACCTGCCTGTTATGAGGGACAGGTAGGAGAGGATGAGCTTTCCATCAAAACAAAACAAAACAAAAACGGTAAGGTTTTCCAAACTGCTTTTCTTTCATTCAGATTTCATCTTAATACTAATGTATAACAATTTTTTATTTATATTTCATAAGGTCCAGAATTTCTGATAATTTTGGTTCTTTTCCAGAATCCAAAGAAGCAACTCGGCTTTTCGGATATCATGTTTATGTTTTCTGGGAATTGCTTTTCTCTATGTCTAAATAGACCACAAATTTGAGACTGATTTCCTTTGTCAGTAAATGTGAATGCTTCCAGTCATCTGTCAAGTATCTTATGCTGTTCTGACGATGAGGCAGATGCCTGCTGTTCTGGGTCAAACCGAGGTGAATGTGCATGATCACAGCAAGTACCACTGAGGACCTATTGGGATATTTTATCTAAAATGATCTCATCTCGTGTATCAGTTAGATGTGCTCTTGCTTTTTCTGCTTCTCCACTCATTTCCAGTCCTCTTTAAATTCTTTAAAAAATCTTCTTGCCTACATTTTTCTGTGGCCCCTAAAGACATTGTTTTGGACTGCTGATGGCATGTACAATTCAGTGTGTCTGGTCTCTGAACTGAAAGAATAATCTTTTTGAATTTTAGAGATTCAGGACTCAGGAGGAGACTTTGTGGCGAGAGTTGACATAGAAGTTGACAGCCCAGACCCTCCACCAGTTCTTAGAAGTGTTGACCTCCAAGAAAGAGCCAAAGGAGCTATAACTCCTGTTCCCAGAGACTTCCAGGTACCCTCAGTCCTCCCCTCTGCCTCATTATCTTGCTTTCAGATTGATGTCACTTTCATGGTGACAGATTGTTGAAAGGTCTGTCTCGCTCTATCTTCGAGATGATGCACTTGGTGGCCAGCACGGCTCCATCCACAAAACAACCCTTACCTCTGAGAAAAGCTGGGAACATTGCAGTTTATTTAGATATCAACGTATGAATTATTGTCAGAGCACCATAAGGTAGTCTTTCCCGAGACTGGGAGGGGTTCCCTGCCTTCTGAGGGTCCCGGGGCCGCCTGCCCCTTCAGGGTGCCCTGAGGACCAGATGATGGAATCGCTGAGAGTTTTAAACACTGGCTGTTTCTCTAGCATGAAGTATATGCTATGGGGCTCTCTGTGTAGACTCCAGTGTCTTGAATGTGAAAAGCAAGTTCTAGATTGATTTCTGAAAAATGTGCATGTCAGCCTGTGGCTAGAATTGGGGAAGAGTGGCCCACACACTTTGACCTCTTTTCTGAGACGTGAAGGTGAGTGAGGGTGCGTTAGTGACAGGAAATTGGGGGTGCAGTTTGTGGGACATCGGGTTTGTTATGGAAGAAAAAGAAGGAAGAGAGGTGCTTTCCAAGAGAACAGGATGAGTTGAGCCTGTGATGGACTGGGAGAAAGGGAAGAATAGCCTCTCCTGGTAAATGAGAAAGGAATCTAAGGCAGGAGTCACTGAGTGAAAGCGGCATTTTTGTAAGTCAGCATTTAATTATGATTCTGTCACTATTTAGGTCCCCGAATGAGGAAGTCCCTCTTTAGTGGATCCAGATAATCTATTCATTAGACCTGGAGAAGAACAGGAGGTTGTAGTTTCTTTTTCTCCAAAGGATCCCCAAGTTTGGGAGGAAAGGTAACATAAATATGTTTATAATGACAAGATTTTACTCATCTTTCAAAACAGCCACTTGCTTGGATGTGCTTCAAAACCCACCATCTGAATGACACAGTCCACATCTTACTTTTGCTAATAGATGCCATGAATCTGTGTAAACCCTTTCATTTAGCTTCAGATTTTCTTCTTTTTGTTACTGAGAATCTCCTTTCAAACCAGCTGAATAGATATTAAGAAATGATTATTTTAAGTATATTCTGACAAAAGTAAACAATGAAACAACAATTTTGATTTTTCTTATTCACTTTTCTTATTCTCCCAGAACCTGTTGATTTTGTCAGCTGTTGAGCTGTATTTCTCCATTTCTTCTATGGGCCCATGAATTCTGGGCTTCCAAATCCCAAGTGAATATCAGCCTGCAGCCGGAGCTCCCCTGTCTAGGGTACCAAGCTTGCTTGTGTGACCCTTGCTTCAACGGCCCTCTCCTCGGAGACACACATGGCTTCTGCCCCTGCCTGGGCTACAGAACTCTTTCATGTGTTCAGTCTGCTATTAGGATCTTAGGGAAGAAGAGAAGAGTCCTGCCTGCACCAGTGTGAACGCCTGTGCCTGGAATGCTTGCCCACGGCTTCCCTGGGCTGGCTCCCTCTGGCAAGCTTTCCTCCACTCTTCCCAGGTTTCCCATGAACAGCATGCTTGTAGCACCATGGCCGCTCACACCCCCTGTGCAGATGGCATTGGATTGTCTCTCTCCTTGCCTATATTCTTATCTGGAGCACAAGCTCTAAGAGTGGGAATATCATTGTGTCCTCAGCACCTAGCTAGGTCTTTTGGGCAAAGGAAATATAGGAAATAGTTGACCAAAGAATTGAATTCAGAATCTTCAACTCAGATTCCTTTCTCTATTAGGATCTAAAAACTGTCTGTGCAGCCATTTGGACCTCAGAGTGAAGTAGTGGTAAAAGGTGAAGTCCATTCTTCAGGAAGTAAACCTCTGCCAGGCGGATCATGCTCAGACATTCGATTGAAGTTTGTCCAACAGTTTCTTGCCTTGGAAGGTGTCCCTCTTGGTGGAACACAGTAAGTGTCAAAGATGGACAAATAGTCAATCCCCTGTTTGTACATGTATAGGAGAAGATCCCAAATTAATGTTTGGAGGACAATTTTGTTGTAACAGACACTGTTGAGGCTCAGTTGTACAGAACTGGAAAAGCCTTTATATGTGCATATGTCTAGATTCAGCCTTTGTTTAACATATATTCCAATCCTGATCCTGCCTTCACCAGCTGCAAAGAGTAGCTGACATGTGACCACAACACAGGAGCTGCTGAAGAGGGAGGATTATCACCTCAAACTCACGGCCACCTGGTATTTTCAAAAGCCAGCTGAGAGAGAGAGTTACAGAGAGCTGTGGAGAGAACATGTAGTCCATCCAGGCATCTCAGTGAGCTAAATTTCTCAATCAGTCACCCCGTGGTTTCTGGATGTCACACTTCCTGCCCATACCAAATGGAGCACCTCAAAAGGAGCAGAGCCTAAGAAATGGGATTTAGTATTTACTGTAAAATTGGGTTTTTGAGACTCCCCATGTTCCACAGATTCATCTCCAAAGGTCTCAGCTTTCTCTTTTAATACAAGGCAGAGAGGTGCAGACCACAGCTTAAATAATTAGCTGCTGATTTTCCCCAAATTTGAGTAAGACCCTTCTTTTCACAGACAAAATGTGGGTGAGATGGCAACGTAATTCACAAAAAACTGGTGCCTCTTCTTCTTTTATGAGATGGTGATGGGCTTGTGGAACTCAGCTGGTCACACTTACCTTATAAGTGGACTGGAAGGTGTATGTGGGGTCGTCTTTATCCTCTGGGGTGTATCCTCACCAAATTGAACCGTCTTCCATCTAACTGGGAAACTGTAAAGACTCATTATAGAAGCCATCTGCTTCCACCAGATGGCTATACCTTCTTCACAGGCAGCCACGATCAATGTTGAGCTGCAAGTTGTGGCCTGGGCCAAGCACACGGCTGCAGCTTTGAGTAATATGCACCATGCCCTTACCCTCCTGAGGACATCGCTCAGATTAGGCAGGTGGCCTTACCAAACTGAATGGCAAAGCCATTTTAAAGCAGCTCAAGGGGGAACTGGTGCTTTGATCAAAACCAAATGTTGCAGCATGTTTGAGACTATTCACACAATATTACCCAGGCTAAGAAAGCTTTAGACACTCGTATCTCTGCCACTGATGCACCGTCAGCCAACTCCGTATCGGCTTGGTCCCAACAACTGCCCAGTCTTTGGAAAACTTCCTGTTAGTTTACCTGGGATAATTTTACTTATTTTTCTTTGATGTTGTTGGGTATGTTATGGTTGTACTCTGTGGAGGAACACAAGATAAGCTTACTCGATACTTTCTTAACTTGGACACTTATTAATCTTCCAGGTTTCACCTCTTGCTGGAACTCAGAGCTGCAAACGATGCTTAACGTACCAACGCTTTCTGACTGAGCTCCTCTCTACCCTGAATACAAGAGACCCTAATAGTTATGTGGAAATGTCATTGCCCCTGTTCAGCATGAAGAAGTTACAGAAGACGGACCTTCATCCTTCTGCAACCCCGAGGATTAAGGGTCCTCTTGTAAAAAGGAGGGGGGAAATATGTAAGAAGTGTTCAAACCAGAGCGACTCCATTTTGAACAAGGGCTAAGAAAAATGAAACTGGGGCCTGTTCAGCTGCATTCCCAGGAGGTTAAGCATTCCTAGCCTCAAGATATTTACAATTGAGGGAACAGATTAATAATGTTTCCTAAACACACTCAGGACTTAACAGACCCAGGAATGTCTTGATACTTTGAGAACAAAAGCATTTGTAGTTTTAAATATGCATTGTACCTAGTAGGATGGATGCTTTTCTCTTCATAGTTTTGGAAATGCCCCACCCTGTCTATGGAGTCACTATTTGTTCACTCCTTTACTTTAATAAAGTTGCTTCCATTTTTCACTGTGGAGTTGCTCCAAATTCTTCCTTGCGTGAGATCCAAGAACCCTCCCTTGGGGTCTGGATTTGGACCCCTTTCTGGTAACAGGTGGATCTACAGTTCTGGGGGTCTAGCCCTCTTCTCACAGCTCCACTAGGCAGTGCCCCAGTGGGGACTTTATATGGAGGCCACATATTAACCCCACATCTCCCCACTACACCATCCTAGTTAGAGGTTCTCTGGATTTTATATAAATTTTCTGAAATCTGGGCAGAGGTTCCTAAGCCTCACTGTGCACCTGCAGGCTTAACACCATGTGGAAGTTGCCAAGGCTTACAGTTTGCACCCTTGGAAGCAGCAGCCCAAGTTTCACCTTGATCACTGTTAGCTGTGGCTGGAGCTGGAGTGGCCAAAGTGCAGGGCATCATGTCTTGAGGCTGCACAGAGCAGCAGAGCCCTGAGCCTGGCCCATAAAACCATTCAGTCTTCCTAGGCCTCCAGGCCTATGATCAGAGGGACTGTCACGGAGGTCTCTGAAATGCTTCTGAGGCTGCTTTTTCATTGTCTTGTCGATTAGCAATTGACTCCTCTTTCCCTTCGGCAAATTTCTGCAACCTGCTTTAATACCTCCCCATGAAAATGGATTTTTCTTATCTACTGCATGGCCAGACTGCAAATATTCCAAATGTTTAAGCTCTGCTTCTCTTTCAAATATAAGTTCCAGTTTCAGGTCATTTCTTTAACTCAGGTATATGATCACAGGCTTTTAGAAGCATCTAGGTCAAATCTTGAATGCTTTGCTGCTTAGAAATTTCTTCCACAAGATACCCTAAGTCACCTCTCTCAAGTTCAATGTTCCACCGATTCTTCGAGCAGGAGCACAATGCCACCAGTCTCTTTGCTGAAGCAGACGAGAGTGACCTTTACTCCAGTTCCCAATAAGGATTTTATCTCCATATGAAACCTGCTCAGCCTGGACTTCATTGTCCATATCACTATCTATCTGCATTTTGGTCACAACAATTTAACAAGTCTCCAGGAAGTTCAATTTTCTTCCTAATCTTCCTGTCTCCTGAGCCTTCCAAACCCTTACAGCCTCAGATTACTGCCAATTCCAAAGCTGCTTCCATATTTTAAGGTATCTTCAAAACAGTGCCCCACTCCCAGTACCAATTTTTGGCACTAGTTCATTCTTTCATTGTTATAAAGAAATGCCTGAGACTGGTTAATTTCCAAAGAAAAGAAGTTTAATTGCCTCATGGTTCCCTAGGTTGTACAGGAAGCAAGGCAGCATCTGCTCAGCTTCAATTATGGTGGAAGGTAAAGGGGAAACTGGCACTTCACTGGTTGGAGCAGGAGGAGGGGGAAGGCACTACACACTTTTAAACATGATCTCATGATAACTTGCTATTGCCAAGAAAACACCAAGGGGAATGGTGTTAAACCATGAGAAACTGCCCCCATGACCCAGTCACCTCCCACGAGGCCCTATCTTCAACACTGGGGATTACAATTGAACATGAGATTTGGGTAGAGACAGATCCAAACCATATGACAGTCATATGACTCTGTGAGCATTAAATATATGCAGAAAAAAGCATTTGACAGATTCAACACCTATTAGTGATGAAAACTCGCAACAAATTAGGTATATAAAGAATGTGCAGGCCAGGCGCTGTGGCTCGTGCCTGTAGTCCCAGCACTTTGGGAGGCCGAGGTGGGTGGATCATGAGGCCATTTATATTAATTCTGAGAGTAAGTTCTTATAGACCTTCCTTCAATGTTATTTATTAAATCTAAAAAGGGCTTCTTTAAAAATCTGAGACTAGGTGCAAGAATAGCTAAAATCTCTTCTACAGTTATTAATATTTTATTAGACAATGGTATGTTTTAAATAATACTATAAAACATTATTTCATTGTATACATTAAAATTTAACTATTTATTTGTCTTTTTTTCTGCTATAGAACTTAACTAAAGGAAAAATATTTGTTTTCTAAGTTCTGGAAATGCTTTAATTGGACCTTTAGTGTTAAATATCCATTTCAGTGAACAGATTCCATGGTACTGGACAGAATATACATTTTCAAAAACTTAATTGAACTTTGAAGTTCAGGGTCACATGACGTGCAGGTTTGTTACACAGGTAATCGTGTCATGGGGGTTTGTGGTACAGAAGATTTCATCACCCAGGTATCAAGCCTAATACATCATAAAATCATTTTTTACCCCATAAATATATACAACTATACATTGTCAATTTACAATAAAATTTAAAAAAGAATTATGCTTATGGGCTGTTTCGTAAAAACAAACAAACAAAAATGCCAGGTTACAAAGTTAAGTGCAAAAAGCAAAATACAAAATTTGAGTCCAGTGAAAAAAGGCATAGGAAAAAACCATGGAACAGAATACAAACAAATGTAAACACTGCTATCTTGTGAATGGTAAGGTGGAATTAACAGGTGACTTTTTTCTTCTTCATAATGTTTCTGTATTATCAAGATTCCCTAAAATGTACATTATTATTATTATTATTATTATTATTATTATTATTTGGAGACAGAGTGTCACCAGGCTGGAGTGCAGTGGCGTGACCTTGGCTCACTGCAACCTCTGCCTCGTGGGTTCAAGAGATTCTCCTGCCTCAGCCTCCGAAGAAGCAGGGAATACAGGCGTGTGCCACCACGCCCGGCTAATTTTTGTATTTTTGGTAGAGACGGGGTTTCACCATGTTAGCCAGAATGGTCTTGATCTCTCGACCTCATGATCTGCCCGCCTCAGCCTCCCAAAGTGCTGGGATTACAGACATGAACCACTGCGCCCGGCCATTCATTTTTATAATAAGAGAAAAACTTATGGTGTAACAAAGTCAGATCTAAACACATTGCCTTAATGCTTATTTAAAAAGCACTTATTAAAGAAACATGAATGTGTAGTGTGTAGAGGGCAAGGCCAATCAGAAAAGGTGACCTTAACCAGGTAGTGCTGGCATTGCCACAGGTTTTTGTTTGTATGTTTTTGGTTTCTTTTGTTTTTGAGACGGAGTGACGGAATCTCGCTCTGTTGCCCAGGCTGGAGTGCAGGGGCATGATCTTGGCTCACTGCAAACTCCGCCTCCTGGGTTGCCAACTTATCTCAGACAGAATCCTATTACTGATTTTGCCAATGTTTCTGATCAAAAGCATTGGGATTTATATGAAAGAAATGCTTTCGTCGTGGTGGAAAAAATTTGAAAGTTCGGTTAAGAACAGAATATTTACATAGTCTCACTGCAACTCCTCACAAAAGACTTACTCATTACAAAGCAAAATAAAGTAACTTTCCAATACAAAAGTCGGGCATATACAGCCATAACTGAGTGACTGATGTGGATACTATTAGTAATGGAACAAGTCTAAATCATGTGCCATCTGATAGAATGCAGTAGAACACAGCACCACCTTGTCGATGGTCCAGCAAAAGATGAGCATCCTGAATCTAATCATGAAGAGACATCAAACTAAAATAGAGAGACATTCTGCAAAATAACCGGCCTCTACTGTTCACAAGTGTCAAGGTGACAAAAGTCAAGGAAAGACTAAGGCACTATCTCAGAAAAATGAAACTAAGGAGATGTGATAAATGCACTGAACAATTCTGAACTGAATTGTTTTCAATAAAGGATGTTTTTGGGTTACTTGGGAAAACGCGAATGAGATCTGAGGATTAGAAAGCAGTATTGTATCAATATTAATTTCCTAATTTCATGGTTGTATTGTAGTTATGCAAGAGAATGCCCTTGTTTGTAGGAAATACTCACAGATGTTTTTGGAAATTACGGTCATCAGTTTGGCAAATTACTTTCCCAAGTAATTAGAACTTTTCTGTAAGTTTGTGTAAGTTCGTGATTGTTTCCAAAAAGAGGATTCTAAAACACAAGAAATACACCAGGACAATTGGCATAAGCGAAATTGTTCTAAAAGATTGGATATTATCATCATCCAACTTAAAAAAAGTAGGTTTAGTAATTAAATACTTCTTCAAGAGCAAGCATATTTACCTAGTATCACACCAAGGCATTAATATGTTACCCAAAGTGGTAGTAAATCTTTGCTTTGGTGGAATGAAAGGATTTATCATCCATTATAGGAATTTATGAAACTGTCACTATTAGGTGTAAAGGAGGACTCCTTAGAATGTTTTATAAAACATTTTACTTCACATCTGGATTTGCATCCTGAATCCTCTTCATCCTAGCGAACCCAAGGAAAATTACGTAATCTCTGGGAGCCTTAGGAATGTAATGCCAAGCTCTCTGCAAAACTATGAAAACATCTGACCCTATGTGAAAGTTTAAAGTGTCCAGCACACAGTAGTTAATGCCATATTTTACTGATTCCAGATCAGTTTTCACAGCATCCTTTTTCACGTTTTATGATTTCTGAGGTCAGGATGTACCTTACAATGAATGGAAGGCCTTTTACAGTTGTGAACAGCCAGAGAGAGGCCAGAATGACCAGTCACTGTCCACATGTTTGCAAAGTTGGATATAAGTACTGGCAGCCTGGCTGGAAAACTACAACCCTTCTATGTTCCAGTCAACAAACTCTTTTAGGTTCATTTGAGGAAGGAACATTCGTATTGGTTGTAGAAACCTTTTTTTTGGCCCC